AGGATCAACCAGCGCACTATTTGTTAACCCTCCCTCAATCCAACCCACAAAGAAATTTACTAACCAACCGGACATCAGCGTCTTGTAACTGATCTGTTCCCAGCCCCCTCGCATGCAACAGAAAGGAAGAAAAGAAAAAACCCAATGGAGCGTTGGACCTTTTCTTCACCACGCTTTCCCGTCCTAATGCGAGTTGCACTGGTAACGAGAGTCAGTACTTATCTAGTGATGATGGCTGGACCACATGGAATGGAATGGAAAGGACTGGACCCGGATCGGACCGGACCGGATGGAACTGGACGCTGAGGATTGGACTAAAGGCGCATTAATCTGTTCTTTTATTGAACTGAACTGTACTGGACTGGACTGGAGTGAACTGAGATAAACTGAGTTGTGTNATCGAAGGAGGCTTCATCTTGAGCCAAACCATAACACATTACGAGACGTAATTTTGATAATGAAATGTTGGTTTTCTGTTTTAGCGGAGTCTACTTCATAATGGTGATGCGACTTGATGTAAACATGACCAACCCGTCCCAGGATTTTCCTGTGCTAAAAGAAAGGATACAAAATGCCTGTTGGCAGTACCTCAGAATGATAGCTCATTATCAACTGTATCCCACAGTTTTGCTGAACAACACAGCTTTCAGTTTCGAGGTGGGAACACCATATTGACTAATCATATCTTGTTACTGGCAAAATATTATATTACTCTAAAAGGTGCCAAAACAATTTTCCAACGTTTCAAGGTTTCATTGTTCTGACTAGAAGTATTTAAAAAATTGAGCTCCAAATCTCCAGTGAAACAAATAAGCTATCAAAGCATTTTAAAAAGCACAGGCCTAAGACAGGCGGAGGTAGGAAAAAAACAAACAATTCAACAAAAAATGTAAATAAATTTAAACATACTTATGTATTTTTAGCAGCTTCATATCCATTTAACCTGTCGTTCATTCTCTATGTTGCCATGTTAACTTTATTGATTTTTTTCCAGTTATTAACCTAACTTTGTTTAATATAAATGATGTAGTGCAAGTGTTTTATTGTAATCAAGGCATTGTTCTTAGATTAAAAACTAAATAGTAAATTAAAAAAATTAACTTAAAAATATGAAATAAGATGAAATAGGCCAAATACCAAACGTCTGCTGGTAGTATCTCAGAATGTTAGTGCATGTTCAACTTTATCCCACAGTTTTGTTGAACGAAGTTAAATTTTAATTCCAGGTAAGGTTCGTGGTCGCTGCTGTAAATTAAAAGTGATATCTTAATGAAGAATTTGATGAAGTCGTGACTATCAGTAGCTATGCCAACTTGTGGATAGTGGCTGATAAACTTACAAAAACTGTTGAAATAAAATAGGCTTACTCATGACGACAAATAAATGCAATCGAAGTAGAGAGAAATAGCCAGTAGTCCTTTCCCGTTGCAAATGTAAATAACAACTTGTGAAATAAAGTTTAAAATGTTTTTACGCGTAATTTTAAATGCTAGATTCAATG